CTTCCTTCCTTCCTTCCTTCCTTCCTTCCTTCCTTCCTTCCTTTCTGTGTGTGCACAAGTACTAGAGCTTGAACTCAGGGACTCATGACCTTGCTTGGATTTTTGATTAAGGGCCTCAAGGCTACTGCTTTACCACCTGAGAGTCATAACTCCACTTCAAGTTTTTTGGTGGTTAATTGGAGAAAGGAGTGTCATGGACTTCACTTCCTGGGCTGGCTACAAACCTTAATCCTCAGTCTCTGCCTTCTACACAGCTAGGATTTGGGATTACAGGAGTGAGTTTACCAGTGCCTGGCTTCCTTCTCCTTTACAAATGGAATATATGAATAAGTATATATTCTATCTTATATACAATTACATAATATAGTTATATATTCTTTATTATATATATACAATTACACACACATACACACACACACACACACACACACACACACACACACACACACACACAGAGGCATGGAAAAGTATCCAAAAGTAGCATCAAACACTGAGATGGGATGGGAAGAAGATAATTTTCAGCTACTGTGGTTCTATCTTTTTCTGAAACTTGCTTACCACAACTGTTTATTTTAGTTGGACTTGTCATTCTTTAAACTTCTCAAAATAATCATTCGGAAAGAACATTGCTGGAGACAATAAGCCACCACTGAGCTCGTCAATACCCCTTTCCACTCAAGTGAGAGCAGTGAACAAAATGATCACCCAGCCAACATCTAAGTTAACAAGCCAAGTTGTGAACAGCCTCAACTTCTGAACCGTTAAACCTAGTTTTTCTTCTCCATCTCCCTACATAACTCCTGTAGTCCCCCATTTTTCTCAGAGTGTCTCATTTAACATGCGAATTATGACATAGGAGAAAGACTATTGCAGAATCCTCAAACTGCTTATTCCTTCCTGTTTGCCTGGTGTCCCAGGCTTCCCCTATGCCTGACTGGTAAAATAATCAACACAGAGACAGAAAAATTCAGTTGTTTATAAGAAGTATTCTATGTGGTTAGGCTGATTAATACTATACCAAAGTTTCAATGTAAACTATAAAAACTTTGTCATGGAAATTCATCAATAGAAAATGAAACTTATGAGACTCATGTATAAAGTAAAGCTTTTATTCTACAAGCCAAGTTTAAGGATCCAGACCTTATTTTCTATGCTATATGTATTTGATGGAGTATTTCTGATTGTTGAATATTACTCCTAATTTCTGTTGAAAATAACTCCAACTTTTCCTACATAGGTGCTGTATTCTTAGAAACTCTATGTGTATTTCTCTGGCTTTTTCTCAGGTTCTAAGGGTGATGTGGCCCAATGAAATCTGTTCTGGGTATAAAAGCAGGGTCTGAATTCTAATGGCAGGGACTACCTTGCAAGTGGGCAGCAGGAGAGTAAAACATGTTTTCTACTTTAACAAGCATTCTTTTTATCCACAGACTGGTGTTTCCTGAGTCTTGGCAGTGTGTTTATAGTGTCCATTACACTGCTAGCTTAATTAGGGTGATTTTATGATTTCGGCGGTCAAAGCAACACAGCCTTCTCTTCTTCCTCCCTCCTTTGAGGGAAAAACCAGCCACACACAAGGTATCTTCACCCTGTCCCTTCCATTTCTCCTCTTTGAAGTAATAAATATCCCTCTAAAACTGAAGAGACTTCCAGACCCATAGATTATGGCATCAATAGGAAGTTCTCTGTGTCTGGCTGGGTCAGGACTGAGCATGAAATGAATACTCGGGAAACCAAGAGCCCCGCTGTGGACCCCAGCAGCAAATGACATCAAAGTCCCCAGGGAACTCTCATAACTTCTTCCTTTCCATATACCACAAAAGAGACCTGAGCACTAGAAGAAATTCTGGATCATTTCCTGAGACAGGGACACACAACTTCCAAACAAGTACCTGGAGTCTTTACCTCAGTGTGTCTCAGACCTAAAGGGCAGGGAAAATTCATGTCTAATGGGAGAACTCAATCTTTCCCACATTCTGTTGGGTTCAAAAATAGATACCACTCACTCCAAACTAGTTAGTAAAAGTGTGCTGAGAGCCCATGCCCAAACCTTTCAAGTCATTCTGCATCTCCTGGTAATATTCTCCTTTGTTCTTTGACTCTGAGTACCAAATCACCTTGCTATCTTCAATGGTTGTTTCTCTGTGCCATGATTTGTGGGGAGAGAATTTATAAAGCAAAGCTTCAGTAAGAATATAGGGGCAGAAGAATGTTTGCTACACAACACAAAGACACACATGCATTGGATCAAGTAAATGGGAGGCTGAGTCTTAAACATCTCAGGACTGATTTCTAAGATTACGACATATATGTAACACTAGGAAAAACTGGGATTTATTTTCAACAGACACTAGGAATGACATGAAGCTATCAGGAACAAAGCCAAAGTAGAATTACTACATCCAACAAGCCCAGTGGGATGAGTCTAGTTTCATTCTCAGTTGAACCCAAGCACATCCCATAATAACGATGGTATGAGAAGATGTAAATTCTCTCCCACAACTACTGGCAACTGAAACTGAGGTCTGTTGAAATCTCCCCATATATACATTATATATATTAGGTACCCAAACAGGGGTTAAAGGAACTGCTCTGAGTTTAATTCTTAAATGAATATGTCTTAGCTAGATAAAGCTGAGAAATCCTTTCTCAGGTTAGAGCTTGAGGATCTTCTCAACAATTGAGAAATAGAGAAACTAATGGTTAGTAAAATTAGAAGTTTATTTCTTCTGAAAGTGTTTTAAATATTGAAGTAACAATTATATATTTAGAATATATTTAATGTGTTCATAATATATTATATGTAATATATTACATAGTTAAATAATCACATATTATATATTATATGTAATATAATATACAATTATTATATGTAATATATTATATGTGTAATATTATATATAATATATTATATGATATATAATATACACTGAATGATTTATACAATATATAACATATATATTTATATATAAATGGCCCAAACTATTTTTGCTATATATGGGAGAATGAATTTCATATTCTTATATGTGAAAGCAATTAAGTAGCTTGGTCAGAAAATTTGGCAACTGGAATCTCTTCTACTTAACATCTTTGTCACCCTGGCCTCTCAAGCATGACCCATGAAGTGCAATAGTTATAGAATTCCTATTTAGGACAGAGATCACCAAAACATCCCAGGGTCTACTTAGACCTGAGATGTGCACCAAACACTTCATGAGAAAAATCCTAATGAATAGAAAATCAGAACGAGTATTTGATTTATGTGTAACATTTTCTTATTTGTTTTAGCAAGGAAATTTCATTTGTGTACATGATAAAACTATTTTGAACATGTCTACAAAGCAAAGAAACTATGATTCGATTTCAAAAAAGAGGCAAGAACGTTCAAAAAATCAAATGAGCCTGAAGTCTAAGGAATGGTTCCAAGACAGAGTGATTGTCAGTAAAAGAAAACGAATCTATCACAAAGTAATTTGAAACACAGAAAAAAACCCATAAAGGAGTAATATCATAGGGAGATAGGCAAATTGATATGATAGAGACAGATGATTGATCTTTAACAATTGATCGTGTGGCAGAGGTAGTTAGATGTTGATAATAAAGTTAAGCAGAGATGATATTGATGCTAGGTAGCTAGATAGGAATGTAGATAGATGGCAGATAGACAGGCAGGCAGGCAGACTGACAGACAGACAGATAGATATGGACAGAGATTTGGGAAGAACCAGCTATTCATGCACTTGCTTTTTCATTCGAAGACTACACCTTAAAAACCCAGCTTGACTACTGGCCACTAGTGAAGTTTAAGAATAAAAAAAAAATGTCTCTCTAGGCAAGCACTGTTTAGGCTTAAGAAATCCCTCTCCAGCTTGCCTGCTGGGCACTGACATACTCAATATGTACCCAACCCAAGCATTTCAACTTCCAGGTCATCCTTTGTGGTGGTCACTGGATAACAAGCCCTGACACTAGACCACAAACTTGAAAAGAATCTTCTCTGAGGTTTTAAAATGTGTTTGCTTAGTTCTTGGGTTGTTGTTTTTCTGTGCCTTTCCACTGTTGCTCACTTATGGCACTTCCTGATTCCACAGGGTAAAGGGAGGCCTTGGACAAGAGAAGGCAGATACTACATTCTGTTTGCACTGGGGGATTTCATGCTTTGTGGGAGCTTCCTCCAGCAAGCGCAGTGGATTTCGATTCCTACTGGAGATTTTTGAATTTTACTGTCTTTGCGATACCTAGATTTTGTTATATGGGATTCTGAACAAGGATTCTAAAAGCGAAAATGAATGTCTCCTAAGTAAATCCAAGAGAGAAAGCTAGATTTTCCCATTGTAATATTTCTCCTTTTTTTTTTTTTGGATGGCACCAGTGTTTTTAATTTGAGGTGAACAGGGAAGCAGATTCTTTAGAAAATTTGTTGATATTTGAGATGTCTTTCCTCCTCCTCAAAAAGAAAAAAAAAGTCATTTAAACACTTAGTCGTGAAAGTTTTGTGCAGTTTTAAAGAGCCTGAGAGATACTTTTAATAGCCACATGTAGTCCAATTAGAGTCATCAGGTATTAGAGTAAAAATACTTGTACTATTGGTTCAACCATGTACTTTTTCTATAAATAAAAATAATCATAAAATTTGGGCAATTTCATATGTCACAGCCTACTAATATTGTTACTTTTGTAGATTTTAGAAATGTTCCCAAAGTAGAGATTGACTTCTGAAGTTCCAGAGGTTCTTACCTAAATTCCAAAGTTACTAGACAATGGAAGGGTAAGTGGCAATCAAACTT